GTTGGGTCTCCCTCCTGAGCACCCCCCCCCCCCCCCCCCCCGCCCTGAGCTACAGCTCTGCCCAAGTGATTGTTGTGGGTTCAATGTTTTCCTGTTGGAGTGTGAGTTGCTGGAGGGCAGGGCCCTCCTGTCTTGGTCATAGCTAGTGTCTGCTTTGGTAAGTGACTAAAGGTATTTGCTAAAGGTGTAAACCAGATTCACGTTCACACAAGAGCACCTGGTGGTGTGGAGGAGAGCAGAGTATTAGTGAGTGGCAGCTACAAATGATACCCCGTGGAAGAAAAAGGACCACCATGTGTGCTCTTACTTTGACTCAGCAATTTCTAAGGTTTGTCCCAAGGAAATGCTCCGGATGTACTCAGAGATTGATATACAGAGATGGGATACACACTTATGGCACTGGGCATCCATTAAAAATAACACTAGAGGGGAACGTTAACACGGTGATTTGGGAATATATTCATGATAAATGAAGACACAAAAGTAGATTACAGAAGGACAAGAGTATCCCGATTTTTTTAAAAAAATAATAAAGACTAGAAATACGAACTCTAAAATTGCTGTAGTCGTTAATCTTTGGAAGATGAGATTACAGGCGGTTTGGTTTTGTTTTTTTTCCTTTGTGCTATCTCTGAATTTTCTGCAGAGCTACCTACTTTTAAAATTAGAAACAAATTTTTGTAAATAAATACATTCGTGATACTAAAGTAAACTAGCTTGAAAAATTATAAATACAGTAAAACTTCACTAAAACTTGCAAGGCTTTGACTTAAATTTTGACTGGTGCTGGGCTGATTTTACTAAGCTTTAGGCAACTGATGGTGTGTTTTATGAATACATTTGTAATATAAGTGAAATTGCATCAGAGTTTATGAAGTAGCTTTTATAACCCTCCTTATAGATATAAAGAACGAAGCTTATAGAATAAAGTAACGTGCTTGGAGTTTTACTGCTATTTAGTGGACGTTAGAATTTGAACTTCTAGAGCCTTTCCTTTTATCAGCTGTACTGTACCGCCTAGTTGCTGTCACTTCTCCCTAGGACGCAGCTAAGAGGGGTCATTCTACCAAGTCCTGAGTGTCTACATCAGCCTTGCCTCTGTTTTCTGAGTCTTGGCACGTGGCCATGGCCTGACTGTGCTGGAAGGTCCTCCAGGACCTCCCGAGTCTGGACGCCTGTACCTAGACACACAGTGTCTGTCATAATAGCTATAGGCCTTCCACTTCTCACTTGACGAAGCTTCTTAGAGATGCAGTGTTGAAGAAGAAATACTCTGACCCTTGCTAAGACAGTAAGGAGGACTTTATTTAAGGCTGTTGTGCTAGGGGGAGAGAACTGGGACTCAGCTTGGAAGGCAACAAACACCTGGGGATGTGCGGCCGGCAGAGGGAAGGGGTCCAGAGAACTGAGGGGAATGAAGCCTCTGATCTTCTCGAGGGTGACCATCCATCAGGGTAGGGATTTTTTCTGGATAGACTCAGCAGTGCTTGTGCTGCAACGGGATTCAGCCAGGATGTACATGGGAGCCCAAAGTTGAGACCTAGTGGAGAGGAGGGCCCAGAGGAGCCCGATTGAAATCTGGTCCCAGAGAGCCTCTGGTCAGTAGTTTAATGAGCCCGGGGTGGTGGTCCTCTGAAGCATGGAGACCACCCTCTCAGCTTACTCAATTTACCTGGATTGTGCGTTTGTTAATACTAAGTAAACACGGAGCTAACACGGTCCCTTATGCTGGGATGGGGTTAGTGTTCATTTTTTGGGAGTTTTTAGTCCCTGGTCTTGCCTTGCTGTGTTAAAGGGGTCCCCTACGTTTCTGTTTCTGGAGAGGTTAGAGGGAGACAGGGAAGAAGGGCAGACCCCAGGTGCTCCACATCAAGCCATGTGCGGCCCTCCCTGAGCGCCTAGGCCCAGCCAGCGTGTTACCAGTGGAAGAAACATTGTCTAAGACCCGGAAATGAAGCCGGGGAAAAGGACTACATGTTTCTTGTCACCGTCACATGGGTCATTGTTCAACACAGTCACCCCATGCTATTCTGTCTTCTGACCAAAGGTAGCTCCCTGACTTGGCTGGTTACTCTTGACTGGGGCCCAGCCACTGATGTTACATGCTGGTTTGTAGACTTTCGTCTTGTAGAGATACAAATTATTTCTCTCTGATAAACCCAAAGGTTTTGATTTTATTGCTCTGTAGGACTTGAACCTGATTTGTCTCTAAATGAAAATAGTTTATTTCCGTCGACTCCAGCTCTTCAGTGACCTCTGAACTAGCTTCCCAACTTGGGGGCTCGCTCATGAATGTGTGTGTGCTTGGCTTGTCTTCTAGCTTTGGAGAACTGCGTTTTAATGCTGCTGGGTGTGCTTTAAGGTGGGCACCGCTTTGCTTCTGGTCGTCCTGCAGACCCTGCTCTCCGCGTAGGCGGTGTGTCTGTCATCCATCTGTCCGTCCGTGCCCCCTTCCATCTGTGGGCTTTCCCTGAGTCCATTTGTCCCTGTGTCCCGAGGGACTCTGGCCCCTTCATCGGCGGTGGCGGACAGGTTGGTATGTCTCAGTGGACAGACTGTGAATAAGGGAGCTTCTGGCCTCCTCTTTCCCTCATTTGCCTCATTTTCTGGTAACCTGGGATGTTGGGCTTGGTCCCCCTGTGTGGAAAGAAGCTGTTCCGAGGAGTGAGGCCCCTTGCAGTGGGCCTCGCTCCCACTGTGCTGCTGCCTGCCGGCCCCTGCTCATAAACTTCCCTGTGCCGAAGCTTTGCTTCCCAAACCAGTCTGTCAACTCCTTGAGGCCAGTGACTCTGCTTCCTGCTCTTCCTTTGCCTACGGTCGGAGTCTGTAACCTGTTGGTTCCTTGTTTCTCTTTGTGTACCTGCCCTTGGATGCCTCCGTGTACTCGTTCATCCACAAGGAGTGACTGGGCCCTTGCCGTGCTGGACGCCGTGCTGGGTACTGGGGATATGACAGAGTGATGTCGTTTGCCTTGAGGAGGCCACGTTAATGGAGGTGATTCCCGGTTTGCATTTTGGGCAGTAAGACTCCTCCCGAGTGAGCCATCTGTCTTCTTTCTAAACAACATTTATTTAAATAATGAAGACTGTATATACGTGTATATACACATATATATTTGCAAAGATCCTTAAAACTGCCTTTAAGGAATAAAAAACCTCAGTGGGGTCGACTCTACGGCAGTGCAGAAGTTAGGGGCATTGACCCTTTGGCACAGCCAAGAATCCACAGATAACTTCTGACCCTGCAGAACTTCACTGATAGCCGACCGTGGAGGAGAAGCCTTGTTGATAACGGGTGGCTAGCACAGTGTGTGTGTGTGTGTGACATGTACTGTGTACCGTATTCTTACAATAAAGTCGGGAGGAGGAGAGAAAACAGTATTAACATCATAAGGAAGAGGTAGTACATTTACAGGACTGGAGTGTTTTATTGAAAAAAATCCAGGTATAAGTGGACCCCCTCAGTTCAAGCCCATGTTGTTCAAGGGTTAACTCTGTATGCTCTGAGCAATATTAAAAAAAAATCTTAAAAGAAAGGTAATAGCCACAGAACTTATTTTTTGGGGCATTTTATGTCCCACTACACTAAGTGCATTGAGGGGCACTGAGCTCTGAGCGCCGCGACACCGGAAGGCAGCACCCAGTGTCCCACGTTCCCAGGTCTTTGCTTACCCCAATTTTTTTTTTTTTTTTTTGTAAATGCCATAGAAGAGCACATTGTAACGTAACATTCCTGCGGTAATTTGTGATTCAGAATGTGAGAAATTGGCAGTGTGAAAGAGGAAAACCCAGTACATGTTTCATTACAATAGTGAGCTTTTCCTGCTGGGTGGGAAAGGAGGAAAACATTTGAATAAAATCAAAGCAGAGGCTGAGCCTGACTTCTCCCAAAATAAAGAGGAGAGTGTTTTGAGCAACTCAGTGTTGTCGCTTGCAGTTTTAGGAGAAAAATGCTTGAAACAAAAATCCCTTTTTATTGGCGAGGGAAGGCAGCCAACCCAAATGTGGCAGAGCCGCCGCTCAAACCGGAGCCCCTGTCCGGGGGAGCAGGGGCTGAAGGCAGGTTCTGTTTCGTTTCAGCCTGAGCTTCACGTGTGTCTTGAGCTGCCAGTGACTAACGAGGAGGTGGCCCTGGCCACCGGTGGGCTCGGCGGGCAGGTCTCCCCAGGCGCTGCGCTCCGGGGGACACGGAGAGGCCACTCTGGGCCCACGAGAGTGGGTGTCCGAGTCCGTGCCATGTGCCACCTGGCTGGTCATCGTGGGCCAAGCCCGCTGTTTTGCAGCCAGCCGTGGAGTAACGGCTGAGGGCTTGTGCACCCTAAGCCTGGTTTTTAATTCACTCTGCGCACCCTGCTCTGTGCTCTTCATTCTCTTTCCAAACCTGCACCAAAGTACTGCGTTGGACTCTCCTGAGAAAGACCAGCCTGGCTTCAGAAACAACAGTGTGCGCTTGTGAGCAGGGTCCGTACCCAGAGGCCCAGACTGTAGCACTGCCTCAGCATCGAAGTAATCTGGTAGGAAGTCCGGTTTCTGCTTCAAAAACTCACACCTGGGGCGCCTGGGTGGCTCAGTGGGTTAAGCCGCTGCCTTCGGCTCAGGTCATGATCTCAGGGTCCTGGGATCGAGTCCCGCATCGGGCTCTCTGCTCAGCCAAGAGCCTGCTTCTCTCTCTCTCTCTCTCTCTCTCTCTCTCTGTCTGCCTCTCTGCCTACTTGTGATCTCTGTCAAATAAATAAATAAAATATTAAAAAAAACAAAAAAAAACTCACACCTGGGGGCGCCTGGGTGGCTCAGTGGGTTAAGCCTCTGCCTTCGGCTCAGGTCATGATCCCAGGGTCCTGGGATCGAGCCCCGCATCGGGCTCTCTGTTCCTCGGGGAGCCTGCTTCCCTTCCTCTCTCTTTGCCTGCCTCTCTGCCTACTTGTGATCTCTCTCTCTCTGTGTCAAATAAGTAAATAAAATCTTTAAAAAAAAAAAAAAAACCTCACACCTAGGGAGTGTTCCCAGGGTAGAAGCTTGGCTGGTGAGAGCTCTCTGGCAGTTTGGGGTCTGTGGACGCGTGTGTTCTGCTGCGTTTCATAACCTAACAAGCAAGATTTCGCTGAAGGTCAGCGTACATGTGTGAAATTTATGTCCACTCCATGCTTCCATATTTTCAATATTAATGGCAATTAAACAGATAACTTTTCAAATTTTTTTAGGGGCCAGTGTCTGTGAACAAGCAGTAAGTTCTTAAAAAGAGAGTCCCGTGTGAGGGTGCCTTTTCTCCATGTCGTAGATCATTTGCAGTTTCTTCGTTTGTGAGCTGGAGCTGATCGTCTTTTGCCTGTCAGAGTTGTTTCAGAGCCTGGAGATTCTGTGTCTTGAGTGCGCGGTGCTGTGTGGCGGGAAGCCGCACCGTGAGGCCAGAGTCGTCATTCCCGGGTGTGTTTGTTGGCGGCTGGTGGCTGTCGCCCTCAGTCCCAAGCCTGGAGAGGCTTCCTTTGTTCTCCTGGAGCTGTCTGCAATAAGGACTTTTTGTTTGTTTCATCAGTGGATGTGAGGCCCTGATGAGTCTTAAAACCAAAGTGAAAATCATAGGCCGTTAAGATCAAAATGTCGTCATGGAATTTTTTCTGACCAGTGACGTTAAGATACTCTGCTTCGGTTTTCTCTAGAGTTTGAGCTCCAACTCGGAACCACCGTGTTTCTGTGCTTCAGAGCGAGCGGTTTTCCGTTCAAAGTCCGTCACCAACTTAGACGTTACAGAAATTTGGCATTGTGAATTTTTATCTTTTTGATAGCTTCATTCAGGTATACTTGACAGACAGTAAACTGTACTTTTTTTACAGTGTTCAGTTTGACAAGATTGAGCATGTGTTCACCTGTCAAACCATTACTGCAGTTGAGGTAGTGAACATATCCATCACCCCGGAGGTTTCCATTGTGTAAATCCCTCCCTCCCTCCTGCCTGCCCCATGCCGGGCCACCACCGCCTGCCCTCTGGTGCTGCCGCTCACCCCACTCTCAGTGAACTCGAATTTCGTACAGACGGGTCCTCTGGTCTGTGCACCGGTTTGGTCTAGCTTTCTTCACTCAGCAAAATTATTCTGAGAAACATGGATATTATATGTTTCTATATAGGTTAGGTTTTCAGAATTAACTCTAGTCTTGAGTTCCTAGATGGGAAACACTACTTCTTTGAAAACTGTTGCCTTGTTTTTAGTTCGGTTGAGAAATCCCTTGAATGAGGGCCTTCATGCCAATCTTGGCCCGTTGCTGCGCTGTGTGGCCCTGCTGAAGGCAGCCCGGCCGACTCCTGCTTGGGTGAAGAGCCTCTTCCTCTTTAGTGAGAGTGCTTCAGGCTCCTAACAGGTGTGTCATGTTCCATATCTTGTTAGTGCTGGAGTGCTTTGCAGCTAGACAGTGAATATTGAATGTTGTCTTGTGTTTGCTTGAAAGGGGTCATATGTCCAGTGGTAATGCCATAATTACTAACTTATTTTCCTTTCCAGATCCTTTCCGGGAGCTTTCCAGGAGTTCAGTTATGGGCGTGAGAGGTTTGCAGGGATTTGTGGTCAGTACCTGCCCCCACGTATGTACGGTGGTGAGTTTCAAAGAGCTGGCGGAGCACCACCGAAACAAGCACCCTGGAAGTACTCCTACCATTGTGGTCGATGCCATGTGTTGTCTCAGATACTGGTATACTCCCGAATCTTGGATCTGCGGTGGCCAGTGGCGGGAATACTTTTCTGCTTTGCGGGATTTTGTCAAGACTTTTACAGCTGTTGGCATCAAGTTGGTATTCTTCTTTGATGGTATGGTGGAGCAGGAGAAGAGAGACGAGTGGGTGAAACGGAGGCTCAAGAACAATAGGGAGATCTCCAGGATTTTCCACTATATCAAGTCACACAGGGAGCAGCCAGGCAGAAACATGTTCTTCATCCCATCGGGGCTGGCCATCTTCACACGATTTGCTTTGAAGACCCTGGGTCAGGAAACCCTGTGTTCCTTACAGGAGGCTGATTATGAGGTGGCCTCTTACGGCCTCCGGAATAACTGTCTTGGGATTCTTGGAGAAGACACTGACTACTTAATTTATGACACTTGTCCCTACTTTTCAATTGGTGACCTCTGCCTGGAGAGTCTTAGTACTGTCATGCTCTGTAGAGAGAAGCTCTGTGAGAGTCTGGCTATCAGCCTAGCAGACCTTCCTCTTCTGGCCTGCCTACTTGGCAATGACATAATCCCAGAGGGCATGTTTGAGAGCTTTCGGTACAAATGCTTGTCTTCGTACACCTCTCTCAAGGAGAACTTTGACAAAAAGGGTAACATTATTTTAGCTGTAGCAGACCATATCGCTAAAGTTCTTCACTTGCATCAGGGTGAGAAAAAGCTGGAAGAGATGTTACCTTTGGGACCAAACAAAGCTCTTTTTTATAAGGGTGTGGCATCCTATCTTTTGCCAGGACAGAAATCTCCGTGGTTTTTCCAAAAACCCAAGGGTTTAATAACTTTACACAAGCAGGTGGTATCCATGAGTTCAGACCCTGAACCCAAGCAAGGAGTTCCCATGTGTGCGGACCCTGAACCCAAGCAAGGAGTTCCCATGTGTGCGGACCCTGAACCCAAGCAAGGAGTTCCCATGTGTGTGGACCCTGAACCCAAGCAAGGAGTTCCCATGTGTGCAGACCCTGAACCCAAGCAAGGAGTTCCCATGTGTGTGGACCCTGAACCCAAGCAAGGAGTTCCCATTTGTATAGATCCTGAATCTAGGCAAGGAGTTCCCATATATGCATACACTGTAGTCAAGCAAAAGTTACCTCTAGGGGCAGATCCTGAATTTAAACTGGAAGCACCCATGTGTACAGACCCTGCAATTAAACAAGACCGCATGCATATGGAGCCTGAAGTCAAACAAGTAACTATGGTTTCAGACCCTGAAATCTTAAAGGTACGTAGCTATGCCTATCTGAATCTGGGATGTCATGATTGAAAATATACCCGTTGACGGATTGATGGATTTGCCAGTGAATATTTATTGACTTCTTGCATAGTTAAGGCACTCTGGGGGACATAGGGCAGGACCTAGCAGTGTAGTTAGTAGGTAGGACACGTGCACTGGCAGCTTACATTATAAAGTATGCTTCATATTGGTGCCTGCCTGTCCTAGAAGAGAGCTCTGGGAATTGGAAGGAGAGTGATCACTGGGCTAAATACAGAGAGATGTTCCTGAAGAGGTAGGAGTGAACCAGACCTTTGTGGGAGCTGGACTAGGTAACAAGTAGGCAAATACGTGTTGCCTTGGGGTACGAGGTAGACCAGTAGGCTGGAGTATGGGGTCTGAGGGGAGATATGGGGAGAGAGGTTGGAAAACGTGGAGTGTAGCCAGATTGTAAAGACTGTTAACATGCCCCACTAGGAGTTGGGACTTAATTCTCAAAGCGACATAGAGCCCTTGAGGTTTTTATGGCGGGTTACTAGTTACTAACCACATGTGTGAGGTTCTGTGTTAGGTGGGTTACACATATCATCGCTTTTTTTGTTGTTTTTGTTTTGTTTTGTTTTTAAGATTTATTTACTTATTTGACAGACAGAGATCACAAGTAGGCAGAGAGGCAGGCAGAGAGAGAGGGGGAAGCAGGCTCTCCACTGAGCAGAGAGCCCGACACGGGGCACGATCCCGGGACCCTGAGACCAACCATGACCTAAGCTGAAGGCAGAGGCTTAACCCACTGAGCCCCCCAGGTGCCCCTACACATGTTATCTCATACCCACAAACCTGTTATTCCCAACAGTCCCCATCTTCCTTCCACTTACACAAGTTACAAACCTGGGAATTCTCTCTCCTGTTTTTTATAACTCTTCTCTCCCTGTAACTAGTCAGTTAGTCTCAGCACCTAGTGTAGGCTGCTGCTTTCCTGGATTACTCAGGAATCTAACTACTCTTCTGTGTAGACTTCGGCCCCTTCCGATCCGCTTACTGTGGTGCATGCAGAAATAAAGCCCTTTGTTTGGGTTCCATAACTCTTTGAAGAGTAGAAACAGCAGCCTTAAGCAGGCTACAGCCTGCCATTACCTCACCATGGCCACTTTTCCACTGGTCTGTCGTGGCCCTGCAGGTGCTCTTCTGCCTCCCGGAAAACTCCCTGCCCCCATGCTAGGTAATGCCTACTAGTCTTTTCTGTCATGGCTGGGGGGTCCACTCAGAGATGGTCCCTGGCCATCTGCCGTTTGGCACCTGCTGTGACATACACCTCACTGGAACTTCATGCTTGCAACAGTGCTGTGAGGGCGGGGGTCTTGTTTCTTTCTTTTCACTGTGGAGCCCCTTTCGCCTGTCACACTGTCTTGTAGTAGCTGCTCAGGAAGCCTTAAAGGCTGTATTCCTTTTCTCTTGTACCTGCCTCTCCTTGAGTGACGCTCTCCCTCCTTCCCGTATAAGTCCATGGGTTCTTCTGTCTTGAAAAGTCTCACCTCTTTCTCTATTGCTTGCGTTGTAGCAGATAAGCTAACTTGCTAACATAAAAAATTATAGTGAAAAGTAGGATGTGATGTGTCTGTTAAGAGAGTTATAGGTGAAAAAGTATTAAAGGGTTAAAATTATCCTACCTGGAAGCATCCTTAAGTGCTTTATAGAAGTAAAAGAATGTGGGTTAGAAATTGGAGGGAGGGCAGGATTAGAACTCCAGGTGGAAGTGTAGTCAGACAGTAGGAAGAAGTACAGGTGGGTGGGTGGGGTGGGGGGGTGGGGAGGCCAGATCCCAGCAGAGAACTAGAAGTCATCTGAACAGACTCATTACTCAAAGTCAGGAAAATGAACAGAGAAGGACTAAATCTAACTTTGCTTAAATTCATTTGGTTTTACTATGAGGTTGGCTGTAGGAATGCTGGTTTAATATCGACCATGCAGAGTGGATTCTCCACTAGTGACCAGAGGGCACTCTCCGCATTATTTCCCTTAATTGTCCCACGGCTCGGATGCTGGACGCACTTGCCTCCATTACCACATGAGGAGACGGGTGTGGAAAGGCTAAATGACATCATCTGTAGTCACACAGCTCGTACTTGGCAGAGCCCAGGTTTGAACCCAGTCCTCTGACTGCCAGTCTGACCCTTCACGAGATGACATCTGTGTTCCCTGATGACATGTGGAGGGGTGAGACCGTCGCGGTCAGTTGTGTAGAGGCATGAGCATGGAGGAATTTGTCAGGAAGCCTCCCTGCACCTGGACTTAGGCCTGCTTCAGAGGTGGCACGAGATGTAGGCCTTGGAGCCCCTGGAGCAGTTTGCCTGAAGGACAGGATGGGGAAAGGCACACAGGTAGAGGAACAGCAGAGCCAAAGTAGAGCACGCAGGCTGCCTCCCTGTCTGGAAGAGGGCCAGTCTGCTTCTTGGCTGGCCCAGAGCTCCTGTGGAGCACGACCTGGCCCCTGCTGGTTCCCAACTCACACCCATTTCCCATTTGTGTATGGCGTGCACATGTCCTCTCTGGGCGTGAGCTCTTCATGGACCCTGACTTCCATTCACCATCCCAAGAGGACCCGTCCTTGGCCTTTGCTCTTTTACTGGACACTCTGGTCATCTCACCCAATTTCCAGCAAAGAGAGTTCTGACAGACTGGGTGAGACCACAAAGGGCAGCATGTGTATCATGAAAGAATTTAGGACTTGGTTTTTATACACGTTGAGGAGGTATTGGATATCTTTAAACAGGAGTGTTTAAAGATATACCCGATCACATATACCTGTGATCAGGTACATGTTTCTTGAAACATTGGTTATACTGCAGAGAATGCACTGGTGTGGCTGTGACAGAAACCAAGGTAGAACACTAAAGAGCTAGAATTAGGGCAATGGCAAAGGGAAGGAAGAAACGTTCAAAAGTAAGTCTTGCTATGGACCTTAAGGGTCCTTCTGTGTTCTGAGATGGGAGTCGCCATGACTTAAGGATGGGGAGGAAAAGTTTGACACAGGGTAGCTAGGAAAGACCATCCGATGCTTAGAAAACAGGCCTCAAGTTCCATTACTGGACAGGAGACAGCCATCTGGAAGTCATCTGACTGTACGTGGTCATGGAAACCCTCCAAGGAGAGGATTGGGTAGGATGGAGCCTCTGAAAACATCCACTGAGAGAGAGGTGGTCCTACCGGGAGGGGAATGAGGAATGGTGACCCCAGCGGAAACCCAAGGAGGCAGGTTTCAAGAATGAGAGGAGAAATGGCCAGGACTGCCAGGTGCTGCAGAGTAAAGTGGAAACGGGGCCACGTGGCTGTTGGGGTTGGCAGTTAGGAAGGGTTCAAGGCCTGAGAGAGCCATTGTCACACTGGGGCCTGGTGGAGGTCAGATGGCCAGGGTTTGAAGAGTACTTTGGAGGCAAAAGCCAGAGCTGGGGGGTGCTTGCTCCTTCAGGAAGTTTGGCGGTGGAAGAGCCTCGGATGGGGAAGAGGGGAGGAGAGTGGTGGGAAGCCTGCCTGCAGGGGAAGTCGGGCCATTGTGAAGGGACGGACCACATGTTGGCCGCGCTACAACTCTCCCATTGGTTGTGGGCTTCATGATGTCTTTGAAGATAATTGTGTGAAGTTTCTTCAGTTCTCCTTACATTTTTCCTTAAAATTTGTTCACAGTGGAGTCTTCTAGCCCTATCAGATAGGTAACCCTAATTCCAACACGTAAGTATTTCAACCCCACACAGTCTCCTAGAAACCCTTCGGTAGAAGGCTGTAGCGCATGGCTGTTACCTTAGGCACGTACTATGGCCAGAGAGCTATGTGGTTTCCATAATGTTGGATACACTGAATTACTATGTTAGGATTTTTAGATTAGGTGAATATGTTAAGGTTTTTCCATGTGTGGAGTGCTGTATAGATCTACAGTTAAGGGCAGAGGTAAAAGGTACTTATTAGATGATTCTGATCTAATTAGTGAATTAAAGTTCTAATTATAGAGAACTTACCTGAAAAACCCTGTATTCCCTCAGATTCTATACACTTGGCAAAATTGAAGATTTCTTGGTAGGGTGAATACGGTTTGTTACAACTTTCTAGATAGATTTGTTAAAATACCTCTCTCTTGAAAATGAAAAAGACTCAAATGGAAGAGGGAATAGGAAAATAAGTCAGAAGCTATTTTGCCTCAAAAGGATCATTAAAAACATAACTATAATGTTGGTAGATTCAGTATCAAAAGGAGCACATAGAGAAATAGTTCACTTCCATTAGAGAATCAAATAACAATCCTTTAAAAAATGTTTTTTAACCTTACTTACCTTAAAGTTGCAAGCTTTCTGCTATCCTGATTTCAAGACATTTCAGTAAGGAGATAGACGTTTGATAATACGTGCAGCCTCGTAACCGTGGTGACACTGGGGACCACGTGCTGTGGGCCAGGCCTTGTGTGCCGCTCTCGTTAACCGTCTGCATTGACGCATTTAACCCTCAGGATAGCTCTGTGAGGTTGGCGATTTCATTAAACCTGCTTTATAGCTGAAGAACGGAAGGAATAGAGTAAGACTCCATTCTACAAAAACGAATCAAAATGACTAAAACTGCTTAAAAGTATGTATAACAAGAATACTGATTCACAGAGTTTTTCACATTCCAAGTTGTCCTAACACCACATTTTAAATGCCTTCTGTGGCAGACTGTTTGGATTTGAATTTTGAGTAGAAATCTGGATAAATCACTCCTATACTAGTAAGAATGTTCTTCACAGGGGCGCCTGGGTGGCTCAGTGGGTTAAGCATGGATTCTCTGCTCAGGTCATGATCTCAGGGTCCTGGGGTCGAGCCCTGCACCAGGCTCTCTGCTCAGCGGGGAGTCTGCTTCCGCCCCGCCCCCCTGCCTGCCTCTCTGCCTGCTTGTGATCTCTCTCTCTCTCTGTCAAATAAATTAATAAAACATAAAAAAAAAAGTTCACAGAAAAAAATAAAAGCTGTATGTAGATTACTATAGGCCTTTGATCTTAGCTCCTTTTTTTTTTTTTTTTTTTTAAGTATTTTATTTCTTTATATGTGAGAGTGAGCACAAGCAGGGGGAGAGGGGAAGGGAGAAACAGGATCCCTACCGAGCAGGAAGCCAGACGCACAGACGCATGGCTCTATCCCAGGACCCTGGGATCATGATCTGAGCCTAAGGCAGAGGCTTACTGACTCAGCCCCTCAGGCGCCCCTGAGCTCCTTTTTTTAAGGAGAAAGTGGAATGCAGCCCTGTGTCTCATCACCTACCTTGTGCCCACATTGCTGGTTGCAAGGCAGAAACGGGGTGTGCAGTACATGTTTGCTCAGTGAGGAATTACTGAACAGGTGAGCGACTGTGGTACAGTTTGTGACCCCAGCAAAGTTCAGCTTACTAGGGGAGGTCAGACCAGATACCTACTATAGGACCCATGTGGGATGAGCCCCATTAGGCAAGGGGAGGTGAGTTCCAGTTGGGAGCAGAAGGTGAACCCTAATGAGAGAGGGGCTTATGAAGTGGGAGCGCAGGAAGGCCCTGAGAGGCGCCTTTCCTGGAGCCCAAGTGTGGATGAAGAAGGTGTGAGTATTCCTGAGGAGCAGAGAAGGTGTCTCTTGGGACTGGTTTCTGCGAGGTGGCTTAGTGTCATGGGAAGAGGACACTGGGGCCTTGAAAGTTAGGGTGAAGGTGCTTTGAGGAGGGCAGTGACTGGACCTGTTTCTAGGAAGACAGGATGTTGGGCTGGAGAGCGGGGAGTAGGCTCGGTCCCGTTCGAGTCTTTCACAGTGACGCCTCCCGACAGGAGCACAGAAGGCCGGGTGCTGCGAGGTCAGTGCGGTGAGTCCGGGGGGGCGGTGGGAGGTGGAGGAGGCGTAACGGACAGCTTGGAGCCTCCAAGGGCCAAGGAAAGGAATCAGGGACAGCTCCGTGCCATGAGTCTGAGGGACCACGACCCCACTTCCGAGGGCCTGAAAACACCGGTGTTGATTTCTCCTTCTGAAGGTCACCATTTGTTTCCGAGGGGAAAGCAGTTGTGTTTGGGTTTTGTGCAGGTTGCTAGAGCGCATCACGTCCAGGCCGAGAGCTACCTGGTGTACAACATCATGAGCAGTGGGGAGATCGAGTGCAGCAACACCCTGGAGGACGCCCTGGACCAGGCCCTGCCCAGCCAGGCCTTCGTCTACCGCCCCGTGCGGCAGCGCGTGTACGCCCTCCTGCTGGGGGACGGCAGAGGTGAGCCGCCTGGCCTCTCCGCGGGGCCCGAGACACAGACCAGGTCGAGTCGAGTGTGTTCTTTTCAGAACACAGAGATAATTAAAAGGGTTTTTGTGTCTCTGCAAAATCTGTAATTGAGAAGAGCACTCGCATCTGTGCGACGTTAAGGGTAATCGCCGTGGGACAGCTCTAATTAGCAGACCGCTGAGCAGTATTCATCAAAAGAGGAGTGCATTGTTTTTATAAAATGTTGTAGTTTTATTCCTTAAAAGGATTTGTGTTTTCTGGAAAAACACCCTGTACTCCTGCAGGAGTGTGGGGTGTGTTTATTATTAGAAGACAGTGTCTACTTATTTTTCTTCCATATGTGATTTTCATAAAACAATTCCATAAAATCTAGTACATCATATTTTAAAGTATAAGCAAAATTTTCCTTTAGAGTATTTGTATTTAGGTTTTTCTCATCTATATTTTCCTTGTGTAGCAACAGCAAGAGTGTAGGGAGAGGACTGTCAGTGGCCAGAGCAGGAAAGTTGGGGGCCTTCATCACCATTTGGAAAATCCTCTGTTTTTGGAAGAGTTGGGGGGCGTGGGGGTAGAGAAAGGCTCTTCATAGTAGAGATGAGTGATGCTTCACACATGTAATTACCTCTGAGGTGAGGTCCTGTTCACCTGCGACCGGCGTCCAGGGACTCTGGCCTCACTGGACAGCGCTTAGATGGGAAACAGGGCTGTGCACACCGTGATTGGGACCAGAGGCAGAAGCAGTAAGATCCCACTGAAACCGCATCTGTGGTCCTTTTGCCTAAACGCCATTCTTTCCAGACATACCAATATTAGTATTAATGTCACGCTGTTGTTCCAGGAAGTAAGCATTTACATAGCCTGCGGGTCGTGACAGTCAGATGGAAGTGCTGTCCTTGTCCTTGGCTCTGTTGCTGTGGAGCAGCGGGGCTCTCTGGACCCAGCTTTCATTAGAGTCTTAGCACCTACTGCCTTGTCCCACGTGTGCTGTCCCAGTCCAGAGGCTTATGTGCCCTGAGAAAGGCGTGAGAAAAACGTTTACGCTAACTGAACAACAGAAACCAAAGAACCTATGGAATAAACTTTGGGACCAGATAGTATTTAAATAATTTTTTCTATTTCTTTTTCTTATGTGGTTCTTTCTCCATATTCTTTCTTAACTACAAGTGATTTCGCATTGATTGTCATGATTTAAAAAAAGATAATCATGAAAAAAATTTTACATTGTAGAGTATTTGCCTGGGATTTTTATTTTTTAGTTTTTAATTTTTTTTTAAAGGTCTTTATTTCTTTGAGAGAAAGAGAGTGAGAGAGAGCATGAGTGGGGCAGGGGACAGGGAGAGACAGGTCCCCCGCTGAGCAGGGAGCCTCGTGCGGGTCTGGGTCCCGGGACCCCGGGATCATGACCTGAGCCATGGGCAGATGCTTCACTGACTGAGCCCCCGGCACCCCTCATTAGTGCGGTTTTATTAACTACACTACAGACCTTAATCAGTTTCGTCATCTTTCACGTTCACTCATGTATTTATTTATTTACGTGTGTGTAGTTTATGGGTTCTGTTCGATGTCAGGTACATAATCGGTTCGTCCCCATGAAGGAACTCTCTCATGCTGCCCCTTTGTGTGCCCCTGGCTCTGTCCCTGTTCACCACTGGTTTGTCCTCAATCTCCGTATCTTGGTTTTTGCAAGAATGTTGCATGAATGTTTGGTCATGTCAAGAATGTCACCTATGTGTAGTCTTTTGAGATTACGCATATGTTTTAAATCTCATAATAGGATTCTTTTCCTTTAAACCAGGGGCTGGCAAACTTCTGTGAAGGGCCAGATGATGATACATATTTCAGACTTTGAGAGCCCTGTAGTCTGTGTGACAAGTACACTCTGCTACTGCGGTGTAGACACGAGTGTCACAGGAGTGTAGCTGTGTCTCCGTAAAGCTTAATCTACTTTTCCCATGTTGCAAAATTTGAATTTTATATAATCTTCCTTTATCACAAAATACTCTTCTTTTGATAATTTTCTAATCTAAAGTAATGTGAGTTTATTATAGTTTTCAGACTGTATAAAAACAAGCAAATCAGATTTGGCCCATTGACTGTCATTTTCCAACCATTATATTAAACAGTCACTTGCCTTTTAGAGGAGTTTACAAATGAGAAGTCTCTTAAGTGCACCATTTCTGGTGCTTTCCATTTCTTTGTGTAGATCCAAATGTCTTTTGGTATCAGCTCACTTTATTTAGAGAACTTGCATTTACATTTCTTTTGGTCCTCATTTTATTTCCTAATTTTTTCCCCTGAAAATATCTTTATTTCAGAAGTATAGTTTTGCTGTATATATAATTTTAGGTATTTTGTTGTTGTTCAGCACTGCAAGGATGTTATGTTGTCTCTGGCTTGTATTGGCTGTCACGTGGTGACCGAGGTCGTCCATACTGTTGTTCGCCATCTGTAACAAGTGTGTTTCCCTCCGGTTGTCCATAAGGTTTTTCTCTCGAGCACTGGTTTCCAGCAGTTTGATTGAGCTGAGCTTTGGAGTGATACACTCTGTTTATTCTGCTTGGGATTCCTGAGCTTTTTAGACCAAGGAGTTTATATTTCCTATCACATTTGAGGGAAAAGTGGATTCTGTTCCATCAAACATTGTCTCCTGACTGTTGTTTTCCCCTCACTCTGGGCCTCCCAGTTCCATGCTTGATTTACTGCTCATGGTGCCCGTTACACACCCCGGCTTGCCCTCCAGCCTCTTTTTCCTGTGCTTCCATGTGAGTCAGTCCTGCTGCCCTTGCTTCAGGTTCGCTGAGCCTTTCTTCCGTGACACCTGCTCTGCTGTTGGCCCGTCCAGTGCGATGTCTCAGTCTTCTTCCCCTGCGCCCCCATGCTCAGGTTTGCCTTTCAGTTCTTAAATTTGGGGCGCCTGGGTGGCTCAGTCATTAAGCGACTGCCTTCGGCTCAGGTCATGATCCCAGGGTCCTGGGATCGAGCCCCACATCGGGCTCCCTGCTCAGTGAGGAGCCTGCTTCTCCCTCTCCCACTCCCCCTGCTTGTGTTGCTTCTCTCACTGTGTCTCTCTCTGTCAAATAAATAAAATCTTTAAAAAAATAAATAAATCCTTAAATTTATGCTTTCAAATTTATGCTTAAATTTATGTTTTCAAGACCTTGTCCACTAATTCCATCAGCTCCCTCTCTTCTGGGCCTGTGCCTGTTAATTGACTTTATCCTCATAAGAGGGCACGTGTTTCTGCTTATTCTCAAACCCACTGTGTTTTGATCACAGCCTAGAAGATTCTGGATCTGTGAAGGGTATTGTGTTCTGTCAGGCAGTAAATTTACCTGATCCTTTCAGGGACTGCCTTAAGCTTTATTAGGCTGGGTCTGTGGGGACTTTCACTCTGGAGCTGGAATGGCCCTGCTCCTGGGGCTTGGCCTTCCTGGGCTGTCTGTCACCTGAGTGCTAGTGAGGGTCTAATGAGGGTCTCTGCACATTGGCTGGTAGGACTCTGATGCTGTGGAGCTCTGTAGGGTCCGCTGGTTACACGGTGGGGCCGATCTCTTGTCGTCTTGTCCAGCCTCCCTGCGTTTGGCTCTGGACACATTAGAGCTCAGTTCTCAACGAGGTCCTCAGGGTCACCTCTTCAGATTTGGGAAGCTCCTTTCTGCGCAGTGCCCGCTCTGGCGTTCTGTGCTGCAGTCCCTTGACTGTCACGCGGTCCTGAGCTGCAGACTCTGTGTGTTTGTTTCAGAGACTTCCTTGTTCTGGTCGGACGCTTTCTTCCTAGGCTGCCGTCTTTGCAGTTCCTCTGCCCAGCTCAGGAGTGCGGCGGCTGCAGAAATGTGTCCAGAAGTGGAGGTGTCGGTGAGAAGACTGGTCAGGCAGGTCTGCCCCCATCTCTGCGGTCTCCCACCCTACTCTGCCCCTGCTCCAACCTCTGCTCTCTGCCACCCCCACCGTGTGGAAGGCCCTTACACCGCCTTTAGCCTTTTTACACCCAGATGGTCCTGTTCACTTGCATTGCTCTAGAAACTTTATCCATGTTGACAAATACAACTTTTGTTTTTCTGGCTCGGGCCAGTCTTCTGATTAATTCTGTTTGTCCCTTCTGAACGTAAAAACTGACCTCCCCCACCCCAGACTAACTTCCTCATCAGAAGTCAGTTCTCTGAAAGAAACGTGTGCTTTTCATTCTAAGCTCCTCACGGTTTATGTGCTTGTTTGCCTGATGTCCCTTGTCCCCACTGGCTGTCAGCTGAGCTAGCAGAAACTGTTCAGGTGGCATCAGCAGATTCCTGGTGTAAATTAGGTGACTGACACATGTTTTTGAGTTTATGTTTAGCATATTAGCCTTTCAGGACTGTTTCAGTTTAGCGCAGCTTTCCTCGGGAAAGGGTAATGATAATGGTTGAATTGCAGATGGCAGGAGCACGAGCTGAGCATCTTTCTCTGAGCCCAGCCTGATGGACAAGTGGGAACCACTTGTTTAAAGTGAGGGTTTTTTTGAACCAAAGGCATCTTTAACTCCACGGGTGTAGACCCTGAGCCCTAGACCCAGCCTCTTACACTCGCACAGCTGTACACACTGGAGGTCTGAGCCAGAAGGCGCGGGCACCGGATAGATCCCTCATTATGGCTACACGTTGGAGAGCTCGTCCGATGATGTGGGGGTGCTTGGCTGGCAACACTCCTACAGGTGTTTTGTCAGAGGATTGTGCGCTGTTTCGATGGCCGTGTCGTGTTATGGCCCCAGGAGGGGAGCATCCCGTAGTCATCACCTTGACTTTATAACACTTCTTACTTCAGATCCCGACTCTGTCTCCTCGTGAAAGTCTTCGCTTACTATGTCACTGTGAAGCCTTGTATATTTTAGGAAACAGAAAAGAACTGGAAAGATGCCAAAGGCAGAGCCTATCCTGCTCCCCTCCTTTATGTCTGTGTAGTTAGCAGAGCTGGGGAAGAGCTGCCTGCTCGCTCAGTGACACTCTGGGAAGCCCCCC